GAACATTGACTGACATTCTTCAGCACCACATCCGAGCCATTCCCTTTGAGAATCTTAATATCCATTGTGGGCAATACATGGACTTGGGCTTGGAGGCCATTTTTTATCAAATTGTGAGGAGGAACCGGGGTGGGTGGTGTCTCCAGGTCAATCATCTTCTGTACTGGGCTCTGACCGCAATCGGTTTTGACACCACAATGTTGGGTGGCAATGTTTATAGCACCCCCACCAGCAAATATAGCGATGATATGATTCACATCCTGCTGCAGGTGACCATTGATGGCAGGAACTACATAGCCGATGTCGGGTTTGGACGCTCTTACCAGATGTGGCAGCCTCTGGAGTTAATCTCTGGGAAGGATCAGCCTCAGGTGCCCTGCATCTTCCGCTTGACAGAAGAGACAGGAACCTGGTACCTGGACCAAATCAGAAGGGAGCAGTACATTCCAAACCAGGAATTTCTTAATTCTGATCTCCTGGAAAAGAATAAATACCGAAAAATCTACTCTTTTACTCTTGAACCTCGAACAATTAAAGATTTTGAGTTTGTGAATGAAACCCTTCAGACCTCTCCAAAATCTGTGTTTACCAGCAAGTCATTCTGTTCTTTGCAGACCACAGATGGAGTCCACTGCTTAGTGGGCTTCACCCTCACCTCTAGGAAATACAATTATGAGGACAATATGGATTTGGTGGAGTTTAAGACACTGAATGAAGAGGAAATAAAAGAAGAGCTGAAAAACATATTTAATATTTCCTTGGAGGGAAAGCTTGTCCCTAAACATGGTGATCGATTTTTTACCATTTAGAGCAGGAGTAAAAATGGTCTTCAATATTAGTTTAGGTAATGAAACATTTTATTATTAAAAATTTTTTAACATATATAAAAGTAGAGGGAATAAAATCATAACCCCCTATGTATTTATCACCCACTTAACTATCAACTGTTGCCTTGGTTATTTGCTTAATACTCACACATTATATTGAAGAAAATTCTAGACATTGGATCATTTCACCCTTAATACTGTCAGCATGTATAGTTAGATAATGTTTTAAAGCAACACAAGGACACTTTTTCAAAATTAATGATAGTAAAGAAGTTTTAAGAGTGGCCTGTTTTTTTATTTTTTTTTGGGGGGGAAATAGTGATTTATGCTAGAAAATCTTCATTGATTTGTGAAACTGGATTAAGGAAACCTCATTTAAAATGGAGTTGGGAGGCAGCAGGAGGAGCACTCATCTCCCCCACCCCCCACCTCTTACGGAACTGCAGACACAGCAGGAGGAAAGACACCTGCATCCCTGCAGGGAGAGGCCCATTTTACTGCTCCGACAGGAGGAAAGAAGGGTTTTTTCCTGCCTAGCAACAAGTTCAGCCAATAAGAAAGCACCACAACTCAGTCAATGAGAAGCCAGCTCTCCTCTAATGGGCTCTCCTTCAGAGCAGTCCCTTGTAACCTCCTCTTTCCTCTGTAAAATAGAGTTCCTCTCCTTTGACCTCTGGACTTACCTATTGGATAGTATGTCCCAAATTGCAATTCTGCTATTCCCAAATAAATCAATTTTGCTGGTAAAACAATGGAGTGTTTTACGTTTAAGGACAACAGGGTGCATGCTGATTCATGGGAAATGTTCAGTAATAGAATATTGAGGAAATCATTTTATTAATTTCAACCTGCATATATCCAATATTCAACCTTTACAAAAATACCACATGTGTAATTTAGTATTAGAATTCATTACAGCAGAGTGAGACATGATACTGCTTCCTAATAATCTAATAGTTCTCAAGACAACTTAAACTAATACATATTAATGTGATTAATATCAAGACAGTGACACAGCTGATAATTTCTTACATGGTTCTTTTTGGGAGCATAGTTCTTTATGTTCCATTTTTCTTAATATGGGGACACTGATATTTAGAATTTTCAAACTCCAGAACTGTAATTTATGTATAAAAGTAATTATGAATTTTTAAATACTTATCATCTGTAAAAACTCGATGTCTGAAATGTATGTTAAAACACTGCTGTCTAATACAATGTCAGTTACAAAGTTTTTGTTAGAAAGAGCTAAGATATTATGTGGCTAGGTTATTTTTATGCGATGGACCTTTCTCCATCTCCTCTTCCTTGCCTCCCAGTTCTATTATTTTCCTTCTTTCAATACATTTTTATAAGAGAAAGAGTATAAACTTCAAAGTATACAAATCTGAGTTCAAATCATGTGGACATTGGATGAATTACTTAATGAATCTGTGGCTCCACATAAAATTGGAATAATACTTACATAATGAGTAACATACATAGAATAAACTCTCCAAAATATTCGTTAAATGGATGAATGAATGTCAGTAATATTCCATTTGATGAAAGTTTTTTCCATCTTGCTTTATTTCTCACTAGCTTGAAATCCTGGTCCTGAAACTATTCAATCTGCCTTGATATATTATTAATAGGATATTAGATAGCCCAAATCTGAGTGTAGGTTTTTGCTTCAGAACTGTGATCTTTACTAATCTATAACTTAGATTTTCTGTTTGTGAATTCCAGAATCAGGGCTATGGTTTAAACTACAGACATGTTTTTACATTATTCTCCCTCTTCAGTGTGTATCATGATAAGGTTAAGACAACAGCAGGGCTGGAGTGGAGAAATGTTAGTTAAAAGAATGTTACTTTGGATCACGGGTATTTCATGTGCTGGTGTGACAGTTGGGGGCTACTGCTCACGGTGGAGATCCTGGGAAGAGAGAAGATATGAGACCTGACCTGAGTGCAACAGAAGGATGAAAGATGAACTTCAGTATTGGACAGCTTGCCATCTTCCTTACCTTGCCTGATTGACCTTGCTCAGCTCTGCTGCTGTCTTGCAGCAACGTCAGGTCACCCTGGTGACACCCTCTTGGGCAGAAAGGGTTTTCTCACTTTCTGACTAGACCAGGCCAGTGAAGGAGATGTTAGCAAGAGACAAAGACCAGATCAAAATACAGCGAAGAAAGATGCAGCTTTGTATAAACGAGTCAAGGAAGTTATATTGTACAATGAGTATCTTGAAAGTCAGTGCGATTATTTGTCCTTGAATGTATCCACCACAAAGATCAGAGGACCAAAGCATGTTGAAAGAGACCCAGAGATACAAAATTCAGCTGCCAGATTGAAGAGTTGGGCCTCACTATGCAGCATTAACTTTTCTCCAGTGAGATCTAAATCAATGGTCTCTATGGATTAATGATTATTGATCCAGATACTACTGCTACTTAACAAATTGCCCTGAAGCTTAGCGGTTTAAAACAACCATTCTTTCAAACACACAAATCCTGGAATTTAGAAAGGGCACAGAAGAATGGCTCTTTCCTGCTCTCAAATGTCCAGTCTCAGCTCGGAGGTCTCCAAGGTTAGAACCATCTAGAATTATCTTCACTGACTTGAGTGGTGCTTCATGGGGTCTACCAATGGGTGTACCTAGATGTGGCCTCTCCCTGTGGTCTGGCCTTCCTCATACATGGTGGCCTTAGGGCAGTCACATTTCTTTCACAGTAACTCAGAGTTCTATGTGTGAAGGTTCCAGCTTCTAAAGCGGAAGCTGAATCACCTTTTTAAAAAATATATTATTTTTAGGTAAAGTGAAATTTACATAACATAAATTTAACTATTTTAATATGAACTCATTTACACAGTATATTTCACTATGTTGTACAGCTACCTATCTAATTTCCAAATTATTTCATCACTGCAAAATAAAGCCCCACTCTTATTGGGCAATCTGAATCACCTGACCTGATCTATCATTAAAGTTACACAGCATATATTCTGCAACATTCTGTTGGTTACAAGTAAGTTACAGTCTGTAGATTCAAGAGGCAAGAACTAGATCTCTTTTGATGATGTGAAAACGGAAAGGTTCTAGATCATCTAGGATGGAAGATACTCTTATGGTCATCTTTCAAAAATATAGTGTGACACAGTAACCCTCTGGTCACAAAAATTTACATTCCTTAATTTGAGGAATACACTCTACCCATGCCCAAATCTCCAAAAGTCTCCTCGCATTATAGCACAGTATTCAGGCATAAAGTCCAAGATCTTGTCATCCGGTCCAGGTGAAGATGAGGCTCCTCAGGTGCAGTTTTGCAGGAACAAGTTTTGAGCACCATTCAGCTTGACCTGAAAGCTTGTGAGCTATTGGGAAAAATTACCTTTCCCATACATACCCACACACAGAGTAGTGAAACAAGCATAAAGTCGCCCGTGTGGACACTTCCATTCAAAAGGGGGTAGACAGGGCATGGGGGCTGTCCCTAGTTCATGACAGTTCTGAAACCCAGAGGGGCCCTGTGGCCAGTTCCTTGACTGGGGCTCAGTCCTATTTCCTGGGAGTTGTTTCCATGGTTCTTGTCTTTACTTCCTGAGTGCTTGGATTCACCATCTGCCTCTGAAAGTTTCATAATAGGTAATATTAATAAGATAACCTATTTTCTCATAAGGAGTTTACAGCTCAATGGGAGCTAATCAAACTGTTTATCTAAGGATTTTCCTCCAGAGTGATAGCAGTCTCATCCACAGACCTCCCAAGAAACACTGAGACACCCTAGACACAAATGCAGTTTGACAATTCTAAGGATGAGTGTGAGTTTATGCAACTAAACAGGAGGTGTTCATCGATATGATGGACAATGTCTTCTGGAAAGCGGTGTTCGTTTTTTGGGTCCCCTGAGGACAGCTGACTTCAGCTTGTGGTCCTAACAATTAGGTAAGTGAGAAGGAGGGACTGGAATAGAAGACTGATAGATAAGAAAATAAGATTACTTGGGGGCGGGGGGCTGGGGGTAACCGTTTGAGACCCAGATATTTGTATGTAGATGCTTAATTTGGGAGGTGCTATCAGTAACCATGAGAGGGGACAGGGAAAGTGAGGCAGAGGAGGAAGCATTGGTACAAGGGCTCATTAAGTGTGCTGCTATAGGCAACAGGGTCTTGATGCCACTGGGACTTACAAAGGAGCACACATGAATGCCTTCCAGAACTTTCCACCAAGGACAAGAAGTAGGAGCATTTATCCACTTGTTCCCATCTCCCATTGATGGAGGGCACCCCTGAGTGAACTCACACTTTCAAGTTCCACCTGTGAGTGAGTTCCCGCAGGCTCCCGTGCAGAAACCTGAGGCAGAAAGCAAAAAGCCCATGTACACAGGAGACACGTCACTGTCAGTGGTAAGACCCTGGAAGCCCGCATGGCCGACTAGTGACTCGGCTGAAACAGCTGGTGGTGCACAGTGGAGAGTTGACAGATTCCTGCAAATCACGTGGGGCTGTTTAAGCAGCTAGGCTGGGATTAGCATTTAGGCTTAGAGTAGAAGTTCAACCATTTTTTGTTTCATGATTTGTACACCCTAGACCCAAGTGCAAATAAGAAAGAAACACATGCAGAAAGAGCCTGTGGAGCAGAAGAAAAACCACGAATCTAACAGCAGGAAGGTAAGCAGGAACCTGGAAATAATCTTCTTTTTCTCAGGACTTTAAGAAACAGTAAGTCTATATGCTGTTTTGGTCAATTCTAACAATATCCAGAGGCTTTTCCTGTCAATACTTCCTGGAGATTGTTTTCCAGATGTTTTCAGAATTTGGGCATTGTTTGTTATAGCAGCGCACTCTGGCCTATCCTGACAAATGCTTTAAAACAAGTCAGCATTGCATGGAGTTGTGCTAAAGGCATGTGTAAATCTTTGAATGAGCTATTAAATGCTGTTTTGTCTTCTCTTTCCTTGAAAAATCATCTAACTCCTTTTTACCTTATTATTTTCCAGGGTTTAGTTATTGGCTATGACAAGCAGCAGACTAAATAAGCCAGCACCACATGTACAGCCAGACTGTGTGACAGACAGATTGAACAGCTGCCTAAAGCACAAAAAAATTGGGAAGAGGATCATTTATCTCTATACAATATGTACATGGAGCTCATGGGGTTAGAATTATGTCCCTGATGAGCAAAGGTGGTCTTCAAGGAGGCTTAGTCAATGTGAGCAGGTCCTCATACGACTCAAATGTGAACAGAAGTCTGGGAAGATGCATGGAAGAGTTACCCCCCTGATAGAGGTTTAAACTAGGTTCGCAGCAGGCAGGGCCCTGGCTCTGCCACATATGCTTATCAAGTAGGCATCGAGTCAATACTTGGTGTGTAAATGAAGGAATAGCCCCTATGCTATGACAAATGGCAGTGCTCAAAACTTGTCTGTTGAGCAGAGGCATGTGATCTGAGCCCATGCTGCATCGCCGGCAAGGAGCCCACAGGGCCGCCTCACGTTGCTGGTGGACGTCCCTGCCCCCACCCCTGCCCCGCAGCACACGGCCTGACTTGCCTGGAGCTCCATAATAGACGGCGCTTCTGTGCTAGTGGTCAGGCTGCCTGACCCATGCCCTGCCTGCCCTGGCAAGGGGGCTAGGCAGCTGCCCAAAGGGGTACCTGCCACGGCCAAAACTCAGCATTCCCTTGCTTTCGCAGCTACTGGAAGTGCGAAGCAGAAGAGTTATGTATATCTGGAACACACTGGGGTTTGGGCTTTCTTTTTCCTTCT